GTTTGGGGACTTTAATAGAAACGATATTGTAGTCAGTCAGTATGTCCATCATTACAGCCTCCAACAAACTGCGTTCTGATAGTTGAAATAAATCCATAATAAATACATTACAGCAGGCGCCGGTTTGTGGTGCCCGGTCATTTGAATACAAGCTGAACTGATTGTCCTTCATCATGTTTTATGTTTGTGGCTAAAGAGCAGAATCAGCACAACAAAGGCAGAGAAGACGACTTAAAGGCGTTCACGTGTCGAGGAGGCGAATCGTTTGTGCACCTTCAGACTCAAGATGTGAAGGGTCATAACCGGCAAGTTACTCTGAAAGAGTAGTTAATTATAGTTACTAGTTACTTCTTCAAAAAAGTTACTGAGTTAGTAACTGAGTTATGAGATTCTAAAAGTAATTAATTACTAGGAAAAGTAACCATTCGCCATCGCCGTCACTCCTGAAACTTGCCTAAGCAACTAAATGTCAGGATGTTTTTGTTTTGTTTATTTTTGCTCATGAGCAGAGAGTGCTTGTTAGCGTTGTCCTTTGATGTTAAACGTGACGAAACTATTGAGGAAAAACAGGCGTATATATTGTTTATCATGACTCTGGTTTTACGTGGTATATATCATCTCGTTGCTTTGTCATCTTAAAGTGGTCATGTGATTGTTTTACCCCTGAGCTCCAGGTGTTACCAAGAAGTGATCATCTGCTTAAAGCTGCTTAAAGCTGCAGCTCTCTTACTTACAGCTACTGATATAAGCTGCAGTAACCTGAACACAGCTTCAACCGTCTGTTTGTTAAAAAATAGTAACGTGACCGCATTTTCTTGTTAGTAACGGTAACGGCATTGTAACGATAGGAATAATAATTAGTTACATTATTCGTTACTAAAAAAAGTAACGCCGTTACTTATAACGCCATTATTCCCATCACTCGTCATAACTACTATGTTTTATCATCCAGCTGTAACCGACATCTGGATAAAATGTCAGCCTCTTCCTGAGCAAAGTCAGGGCTCTAATGCTCAGAAATGTGCATAAACATCCTGATTTATTTCTTATATTGTACTTAATGTCAACAGATTAGACATGCGATCCTTCTGGACAGCTGACCACATGCCACAGTTGTTTGTCCTACAGCGGACGAAGAGCGTGAGCTGATCTCCACCATTCAATCGTACAATCATTCTGTTGCTGCTATTTATTATGTTTCTTTGTCTTTCTTTCGTGCAATATTTTGTTCTGTGCAATATTTCGGCAGATGTGCAATTTCCATCCCTCAACATATCCTTAACGACCACAGCCCTTCTGCCCTTATTTATTATTTATTATATTTAATAAATGTAATAAATAATAAATTTATTATATTTAATTCAGTGTGTTCAGTGTGTTCCAGGCATCATATTTCATTATGATGCCTGGAACACACCGCATGCTTCCTGTAACCCAAACATCGTGTATATACTCTACATACTGTTCTTACTTTTCTTACTTGTAAATTCTTTTCTTTACTTGTGCATCTTTGTGGTCTTAATTTCATTGTGCAAGCAACTGTACGATGTCTAAGTCTAAGTCCATAGCTGTGACTTTCCACATGAACCAGGAGGTGGTGAAAACAGAACTCAGCTGACTGCACTCTGTGATCTGCTGATGAGTTGTGAGATTTTACACACTGTTCCTTTAAATATCAGGGCGTGGCTCGTTTGATAAATGCAACCTTTTTGCCCCCGTGTATGTTACTCGGACCACATCACTCTTTAATGTGAAACACTGACTATACCTTAAAGTCACATATAAATTGTTGGACTCAGCATGGCCACATGTTTCCAGCAGAGCCTGTTTGGTGCTTCTGGG